TGGACCGCCACCTCTCCCCACTCAAAAACTGTAGCGTGGTAGCCAAGTTCCCAGGGGTCTGAAGGGTTCCTGCAACCTCGGGTGCCTGGAGAGGGGATGGGAGAAGACAGGAGCTGGGGATGGAGAGAGGGAGGGGCTGGAGTCCTACACAGGCGGCCTTGGTTAGAGGGACCCAGTAGGAGACCCCCAAGCCCGAGGAGTCAGAAGGAAGCTCAACAATCAGGTCAATATCCTGCCTCTCCATCAGTCCAGGGAGGTGAGCATTGCGCAGCATGAGCAGGGCCTGGGTGAGGGGCCAGCTGGGTGGGCAGCCTGGGAGCCAGGTAGAAACCTGCCCACTCAGCCAGCCCTGCATCCTGCCTAGGTGGACCAGTACACCGTGCAGTGCCCGCAGGACCTGGGGGAACTCATCATCATCCGCCTTCACAAAGAGCGCTATTCCTTCTTCCCCAAAGACCCTTGGTACTGCAACTACGTGCAGATCTGTGCCCCCAACGGCCGTATCTACCACTTCCCTGCCTACCAGTGGATGGATGGCTACGAGACCCTGTCACTCCGGGAGGCCACAGGTAAGCCCTCATCACCCTGCTCCATCCCATGGCCGTGAGGCCCCCTCACTCCAGCCTGCTACCTGGGCATGGCACCCGCGTTTCCAGCAAGCCAGCAGGGGCCAGCCCCAGCAGGGACTCTGGGCTCTCTTGCCACGCTCACATATTTCCCTCAGTCAGTGCTGCTGCTCTGGCCTCAGCTTGGGGCTGCGCACTGGAGGAACAGAGGTGCCTGAGGCCTTGCAGCTACCCTCAGCATCCCCATCCAGCAGCAGACAGCATTCCCAGAGTGCACTCCCTGCTGCTTCTCCAGTCCTCCCACACTCCTACAAGATGCCCAGCCACTCTAAAAAGACCCCTTGTGATGCTAGGGAGAGGCTCAGGATTCTCACAGGAGGCCTATTCATGATGCCAACTATATGCACTCCAAAAAGACTCCCTGTTACTCCAGCAGGATTCTGTTACTATAACAGGATGCCCCATTATTTCAACTGGCACCCTGCTACTCCATTTAGAAGCCCTTTGAGTTCCACAGGAATCCATGGTACTGTGGTCTTATAATTACGATGCCCTGGTTTTCTTTTTTTTGAGATGGAGTTTCGCTCTTGTTGCCCAGGCTGGAGTGCAATGGTATGATCTCAACTCATTGCAGTCTCTGCCTTCCAGGTTCAAGCGATTATCCTGCCTCAGCCTCCCTAGCAGCTGGGACTACAGGCACGTGCCACTATACCTGGATAATTTTTGTATTTTTAGTGAGACAGGTTTCACCATGTTGGCCAGGCTGGTCTCAAACTCCTGACCTCAGGTGATCTACCTGCCTTGGCCTTAAAGTGCTGGGATCACAGGCATGAGCCCTGGTTTTCTAACAGAGCATTTTTTAGACTGATGGGATGTTCTGTTGCTCCAAAGGATTCCCTATTATCCCAACAGGACACCTTATTTCTCTAACAGGATGCACCGTTACTTAAAAAGACCCCCCTTAATCCAGTAACAATCTATCCAATAGAGGCCCTATTATTCAGATAGACTGTCAGGGTTTCTCCAAGGTCGTGGCTGGCTAAGGCTGCCCAGTGGTTTTTCCAGTTGCTTGGTTGTTCCCATGGGAGAAAACAGGAGCTGAGTGGCTGAGCTCCTTGCACCCACCCCTGCCAGAGCGCCTTGTGTGGGTGGGCTGGGGTCGGCTTCCTAATTTGTAGTACTGCATGGGACTTGGAGGCCTGTCCTCTGTGATCCCCCAGTTCTACCACTTGAGTGTTGGCTTCCTTTGAGGCGGATGGGAGGGAAAGCAGAGCTGAGGACACCCAGGGCCGAAAGCCCCATCTTCCCTGCAGCTGACTACCTCTCTTCCATTTCTCATTGCCCAGTGCTGGAGTGGGGACCAGGGCCTGAGCTGGGGAAAGGAGAGGCAAGGAAAGCCTGAGAGACAGTGGGCATGCCAAGGGGAGGGGCTTGCTGGGGACACTGAGCACCTTCCCACAGTGACAGGTCTGGGTGACGCGGAAGAGGGGACAGGCAGGGTGATGCTGGTGGCCAGGGAGGAATGGGGTTGGGTGAGCCATTGCCATGCAACAGGAGGACAGGGAGACTTGAGTCACCCACAGGGCCCTCGAAGGAGTAAGGTTCCCGCCCTGGGGATTGAAATGAGCTGGGTCTCTGGGTTTCACAACTCCAGGGAACACTGTTCATCCAGAATACAATGTGAGCTGAGGCAGGAGGAGGATGGAGAGGTGGAGGAGGGTGAGGTGAGGGCCTTGATGGGAAATGATGGGCTGCAGTGGCAGCACAGGCCAGCCTGGGGACCACCAGCCAGGGTGCTGGAGAAAGACAGACCTGGATGTGGGTGGCAGTTTTTCCACCTACTAGCTGGACACCTGGGCACATTTCCAAATTCTTCTAAGCCTTGGTGCCCTCATCTGTAAAATGGAACTCACAACAGAACCTATTTCATAGGGTGGATATGAGAATCCAATGAGATGACATCTGAATGGAGTTTTTCCTTTTTTTTCTTTTCTTTTTTTTTTTTTTGAGACACAGTCTTGCTCTGTCCCTCAGGCTGGAGTGCAGTGGTGCGATCTCAGCTCACTGCAACCTCCGCCTCCCAGATTCATGTGATTCTCCTGCCTCAGCCTCCTGAGTAGCTGGGATTACAGGCGCGTGCCACCATGCCCTGCTAATTTTTGTATTTTTAGTAGAGATGGGGTTTCACCATGTTGACCAGGCTGGTCTTGAACTCCTGACCTCGTTATCCACCCACCTCGGCCTCTGGGATTACAGGCATGAGCCACCGCACCCAGACTGAAGGGAGTTTTAAAAGGTTTAACAACTGTTGGTGGTCAGGAGCAGCCTGCTGCGGGACAAATCCAGCCTTTTCCCCACATAATATGACTGTTTCTCCTTGTACAATGGGCATGGTGATACAGTCCTTTAGCTGAAACTGTTGGTGCCAGGGGTGTTTCTTAGGCTTAGATTAATAAAAAGTAAACTATCTACAAAGTACCTGGGACCTAGTAAGTGCTAAACAACTGTCAGTTATTAATATTTCAGTGGTATCTACCCAAAGGAAAAGAAATCAATATATCAAAAAGATGCTTTACTTATCACCGCACTATTCACACTAGCAAAAATACGGAATCACTCTAAGTGCCCTGATGGATGACTGGATAAAGAAAATGTGGCATATATATGTAACGGAATACTATTTAGTCATGAAAAAATGAAATCATGTCATTTGCAGCAACATGGATGGAACTGGAGGTCATTATCTTAAGTGAAACAAGGAAGACCAAAAAGTCAAATACTGAATGTCCTCACTTGGGGCAGGGGTCAGCCCTTGAGTTGCCTCCTTGGTCTCCCTACAGGAAAGACAACAGCAGATGACTCACTCCCCATCCTCCTGGAGCACAGACGAGAGGAGATCAGAGCCAAGCAGGACTTCTACCAGTGAGGGGGCGGGTGGCAGACTCTGGGGCCCTGCAGGGGTCCAGGGAGGTGGGGGCAGTGATGGCTCTGGCCCTCTGCCCTGGGGTGGTGCACGGGCATCAGGGGCACATCTGGGCTTCCCTTGCAGCTGGCAGGTCTTTGTTCCTGGCCTGCCCAACTATGTGCACATTCCCAGTTACCGTCCTCCGGTCCGAAGGCATCGCAACCGAAACCGGCCAGAGTAAGGACCTGAAGCTGTGCTGGGCCCCTCCCATAGCTTCTGCCTGGGTGCCTGCCTCCTCCCCGCCCCCTGGATCCCAGCTGCTATGCGCTTCTCCCCACAGGTGGAATGGTTATATTCCAGGATTTCCAATTCTTATCAACTTTAAGGCCACCAAATTCCTAAGCTTAAATCTCCGCTACTCCTTCCTCAAGACAGCCTCCTTCTTCACTCGCCTGGGGCCCATGTGAGTGTGTGTGAATGACGAGGGCTCCTGCCAGGACTGTCCCTCTCCCACCACCATGGTGGCCTCCAAGACAGTCCCAGGGGTTGGAATGGTCAGGAAGGCAGAGGGAGCTGACATGCAGACCCAGAAAACCCAAGACATGATCCCAGGGACGTAGAGATGCAAAGATCTTGAGACCTGGGACCCAGAGACTTTGAGACGCACAGACCCTGAGGCCCAGAGACCTAAGTGGGTGGGGCGGCCCCGCCACTAGCCCCAGCTGACCCTTGGGTGACAGACTCTCCCTGGAATCCCATCTCCTAGGGCACTGGCTTTCAAAGTCCGCGGCTTGTTGGACTGCAAACATTCGTGGAAGAGACTGAAGGATATTAAGAAAATTTTCCCTGGCAAGAAGTCTGTTGTCGCTGGTATGGAATGGGGTGTCCCAGATCGAGCAGAGGGAGCCAGGTGGTCCCGGGCGTGTGGGACGCGAGAGGCAGCGAGGCGCGCGCGCCCTCTGGCGGCTTCTGGGAAAACGTCGCCCCGGGCTCCTCTGGCCGCTCAGCTCAAGGCTGGGGGATTTGTTTTCCTCCCCGAGTCCTCTCGGTGCCCGCGCTCTTCTTCTGTCCCATGCCTCTCCGTCCCCGAGGGGAGCCGGGCCGCCTCATGACGCCCTCGTTCCGTCCCCACAGAGTACGTGGCAGAGCACTGGGCCGAGGACACCTTCTTTGGGTACCAGTACCTCAACGGCGTCAACCCAGGCCTGATCCGCCGCTGCACGCGGATCCCAGACAAGTTCCCAGTCACAGACGACATGGTGGCCCCGTTCCTGGGCGAGGGAACGTGCTTGCAAGCGGAGCTGGAGGTGAGGCCCTCTCGGGCGGAGACCCCGGCCCCCCTCCCGGCCTCCCTCGCGGGCATCCCGGTCTCTCTCCACCTCCAGCGCCTGCGCAAGTCCCAGCCACACCCGCACCCAGCGCCCCGCGCCCCGCGCCCCGCGTTCCCGTCCCACCCCTGCCCCTGGGCGCCCCGTGTGGTTGCCTACTAGCCACCCACAGCGGCTTCCCTCCAGAAGGGGAACATTTACCTGGCCGACTACCGCATCATGGAGGGCTTCCCTACCGTCGAGCTCAGCGGCCGGAAGCAGCACCACTGCGCCCCCCTCTGCCTGCTGCACTTCGGGCCCGAGGGCAAGATGATGCCCATCGCCATCCAGGTGCCTGGGCCGCAGGCGGCGCTGCCGCTGAGCCTCTGTGTGCGCGAATGTTCCTCCGAGTGTGCGCGCGCTTATGTGAGCATGTGGACCTGTGTGTATTCAGCCGTCTCTCGGTATCCTTGAGAGATGGGTTCCAGGACCGCCCCGCCTTGCCAAAATCTGCAGATGTTCAAGTTTCTTATATAAAATGTTCCAGTGTTTACATATAACTTACACACATCTTCTTGTGTGTTGGGGTTCCAGGCGTGAGCCACCGCGCCCAACCCGGGCACCTTTTTCTAATTCATAGAAAAGCCCGGTGTGGGCTGGCAGCAGATCAGGTTTGTGTGTTCGAATAGGCTTAGGTGTAGATGCACCTTGCAAGATGCAAGGACCGTCTTGGCAGCTTCCCGCCTCTCACCTGCTTGCTATCTTGGTCCCCTCAGGTACAGAAGTGCAAGGTGCGCTGCTGAGCGGAGCTGGGTGAGCTCTTGCTGCTGCATGTACACAAGGAGCGCTATGCTTTCTTCCATCTTGCATTCCTGGGCTCAAGCGATGCTCCCACCTCACCCTCCCGAAGTGCTGGGACTACGGGTGTGAGCCACCTCCACCGGCCCACTTGTGTATTTTAAATCCTCTCTAGGCCGGGTGCGGTGGCTCACGCCTGTTAATCCCAGCACTTTGGGAGGCTGAGGTAGGCGGATTACTTGAGGTCAGGAATTCGAGACCTGGCCAACATTGGGAAACCCTATCTTTAGTACAACTACAAAAATTAGCCAGGGGTGGTGGGGAGTGCCTGTAGGCTCAGCTATTCGGGAGGCTAAGGCAGGAGAATCGTTTGAACCCAGGAAGCTGAGGTTGCAGTTAGCTGAAGTCATGCCACTGCAGTTCAGCCTGGGCAACAGAATGAGATCTTGTTTCAATAAAACATAAAATAAAATAGAATATAAAATAAAATAAAATAAAATAAATCCTCTCTAGATTACTTATAGTACCCAATAGAATACAATGTATATGCTATGTATAGTTGTCATACTGTATTGTTTAGGGGAAAAACTCTGCACATGTTCAGTAGAGACAGTTTATTTCCCTAGGGTATTTTCCATCTGTTGTGGAATCCACGGTGTGGAGCCCATGGATACGAAGGGCTGGCTGCACTTGTATGCCCTATGTGTGTGCATCTGTGAGTGTGAGCACATATGTGTGTCTGTGGAGTGTGCTAGTCTCTTTTACTTCATCCATCCATCCACTTGGAAAATCAATCCCTGATTGGGGCCATACTGGAAATACTGAGCTAATTAGACCTGGCTGCTGCCTTGGGAATCTGGTCTGGCAGAGGAAGGAACTAGGTGCTCCCTTCCCAGGGGTCCCCCAAGGGTCATGTACAAGTTAGAAAGAGGCTCCCTTTGGGTGGATGGGCCAGAGCCCCAGAGCCTGATGGTCCTGGTTCCTTAGTGTAAGAGTGTAGGCTGATTTCAGTGATCTGCCTGCTCCTTGAGGGGCTGGGAACCCTTGTGCAGTGCGCAACCTGCACTCCTGAGTTTGGTGGAGGTGGGGTTGGAGTAAGGAAGGCTTGCCAGAGGAGGCGGCTTGTGAGATGGTTCTGGAAGAATAAGGGGGGGCTTCCAGGTAGAGACCGGACAAGGGGAAGGTACTGAAGTCAGGCAGAGTGAACAGCAAGATCAAACGTGGGGAGGGAAGAAAGGGCCAGGGGTACTCAGGGGACCAATGGGACTGGAGTATGGGAGGGTTTTCACCTTCTCAGACTCAATTCTGCCTCCTCCCTACAGTGGGGCCTTTCTGTGTGTGGGTCCTGCCCTCACCTAACCCTCCCTCTTTCACCACCCCTAGCTCAGCCAAACCCCTGGGCCGGATTGCCCCATCTTCCTGCCCAGCGATTCTGAGTGGGACTGGCTGCTGGCCAAGACGTGGGTGCGCTATGCGGAGTTCTACAGCCACGAGGCCATCGCCCACCTACTGGAGACCCACCTCATTGCCGAGGCCTTCGGCCTGGCCATGCTGAGGAACCTGCCCATGTGCCACCCCCTCTACAAGGTATGGGCTTGGGGGGAGGGGCCTCCCCCAGGCATCATGGCCCTCACCTGGCCTCAGAAAGGCCCCCAGCCCACTGAGCAGTCAGACTCTAGTAAGAGAGGGCTTGGCGTGGGGACTTCCCAGAGTGAGCAGGTCTGATGTTGTGGAAGTGGGGTGCTCAGCTCCTTTGGGTGCCACTGCAGCCCTCTCTCTTCATCCTCCTTGTCCTTCCCACAGCTCCTCATCCCCCATATCCGATACACTGTCCAGATCAACAGCATTGGCCGGGCTGTTCTCCTCAATGAGGGGGGGCTCTCTGCCAAGGTAAGACTCCGCCCCCATCCCCAACAAGACGCTTGCTTTCCTCTGGCCTTTGCAGATGGACAAACACCAGGACCTTTCACTTGCCTTTGGGTTATCGTGAGGGGGCATGGAGGGAGGGAACTGGATGAAGTGGGTTCTCCTGTCCAGAAAGGAGCAGGGCAGGGCTGGGGTGCTGCCTGGAGCAGGAGAGTTCCTGGAGGTGGGGTTGGCTGGCTTGGGGGACACTTATTGAGATCATAGGGGACCTGCGGGGAGTGCCAGGGATGCCTTTCTGGCTCCAGTATCTGCCTCCTCCCTCACAGGGCATGTCTCTGGGAGTGGAGGGCTTTGCTGGGGTGATGGTGCGGGCTCTGTCGGAGCTCACCTATGACAGCCTCTACCTCCCCAATGACTTTGTGGAGCGTGGGGTCCAGGACCTGCCTGGATATTACTACCGTGACGACAGCTTGGCAGTGTGGAATGCGCTGGAGAGGTGAGCTCTGGATACCAGTGGGTGGCTCTCAGGGTGGACACCCTGGGGTGTTGGAGAGGGTGTAGGGAGCTTCTGGGGACCTGAGTATGGGTCTGGTGTCATCCATAGGCTTGTGCTTGGGGAATGGGCCTGGGATCTGTGTGTCCATTACACCTGCACCCTCAGCCCAGCAGGCCCCTTTGTTGCTTGGGTCCCCAGCCCACCTCTGTTGCCCAGACCCCTTCTGGGATCTGAACTGCCTGTAGGCTTTGCCCAGCCCTTATAAGGGAGTGCTCTGGGTGCATTCTGGCCTTGCCAAGCCACCCTCTCCACTTCTGCCCCACAGGACTTGCCCTCCCACAGGCCTGGGGCAGCTCTGGGGCCAACCGAGGCCAGGGCACCCTGGGGGAGGTGGGAGAAGCCTGGCTGAGGGGCAGGAGGGGAGGATCCAAACTGAGGCCCTGTCCCCTGGTCAGGTATGTGACGGAGATGATCACCTATTATTACCCGTGTGACGCAGCCGTGGAGGGTGACCCAGAATTGCAGTCCTGGGTGCAGGAGATATTTAAGGAGTGCCTTCTAGGGCGTGAGAGCTCAGGTATGGGCCTGGGCATATGGGCAACCAGGGGGAGCTGGGGCTGAGGGGCAGCCCCCAGGCAGGTCAGCTAGGGCCCTCCTGGTCTGGATCAGAACATATTTTACTGTGGACTAAAGGAGACCAAATTGCTGCCCTGGGATTTTGGAAGGGCTCTTCTCTGGCCTCTGGGGCAGTGGCACCTTAGAGAGGGTGGGGAAGAAAACATGGCTGGCCAAGGGTCCCTGTCTGAGATTAAGGGCTGTGGGTCATCTCTGCAGAGACCTGGAGGGGGTCCCAGCCCCACCTCAGAAACAAATCTTTGTGGATTGTGAAATGGGGTGTGAGCTCCAACAGGAAAGGGTGGGAGGCCAGGGAGCTGGCAGGGGGGAGCTGGCAGCTCCAGGAGAGGGGTGAGGTCCCGCCGCCTGGGTACACATCCAGCGAATATCCAGTGAGCCTCCACAACCCAACACTGTACCAGTTACTGAGGAGGCAAAAGGGAACAGGACAGGTGGTGAAGATGCCTGCCCTCAAGGGGTTCACAGTCTAGGGTGGCAGGTATTTCCATAAAGTAAGTTGTGGGGAAGCCCAGGGAAGGTGACTAACCCATCTTGGGATGGGGTAGTGGAGAGAAGATAGGGCAGGAGGAGCAAGCTAAGATCTAGCTGAGATCTCACTTCTTGGCTAACATCTAGCTAAGATCTGCAGGATGAGAGGCTAGCCTTGAGATGACAGAGGATGGGGATGGAGAATTCTGCATGGGAGAAACCTGGAGAGCATAGGGACTTCTGAGAGCTGCTTACTGCAGTCAGGTTCTCTGCAACTGACTTAGTGTGGGAGGGGAAGAGGTTCCCAATGGGCTAAGGCTGAGGCTGTGAGCAGCAGCCAGGCTTGGTTAAGGGCCAGAGGGAGCCATCGAGGGTTTTACAAGGAGATCAGACTTGTATGCCAGATTATCAGGCTGCGCTGGCAGCCAGCAAACAGGGAAGCTGTTGTGGTGTCCAGGAGGGAAGACTGGGGACCTGACTAGGATGAGGACTGTGGGGACACCACAGAGAATTCCAGGGCTAGAAATGATGGGACTGGGACTGGGTGACAGTTTGGGTTTGGTGGTGAGGGGCAGGTGAGGGGAGGGAGGGGCCAAGGGCGACTACGGGTTTTGGGCTTTTGCAACTGGTTAAGTGATGTATGTCATCTGTTGAGCTGGGGGCTGAAAGGAGGAGAAGTTAGGGAGGAAGATGATGGGTCTGGTTTGAATGTGTGGGACTTTTGGAACCTGAGATCACCATGGCAACCAGGACACACAGTACAATAGGAAAGAGAAGCAACCTGAGGTTCACACGGGGCAACAGGAAAGAGAAACCAGCAGTTGGTAGGGAAGAGAGGTGAGATGGAGAAATCCATCTGGAGTGGGCAGAGTCCTGAAGGCAGCGATGGGAGGGAGTGGATGGTGTGGGCTGGATTGATTCAGGGCAGGACTCTTCCGAAGGAACTGAGGAACGGAAGAAAGCCTCCTGCCTCTCCCAACAGCCCCTGACCTTGGACCAGAGAGG